TTCCGCCGTAGTATTCACGCAACTCACATATATAGACACACACACACACACACGTACAATATGCAAAACAACACGAATCTCACAAGTCGCTGCGCGATCATTTATCCGGAGAGACCGATGAATAATCAAAATCCGCGGCGGCAAAGTGTCGCGACGTCTTTAACGATCCGCAACCAATGCGCTCGCCCGTTATATCGCGTCGACACCAAAGTGACGTCCCACTAAAAACGTAACGCGCAGCGGCTCCCCTCGTCCCTCGGACTCGATATCGCGCCGTCGAGAGACGAGCCAGAAGAGACAGCGGGCACGTTAGCCTTAATGAAGATTAAATAGCAGCGACATTATACCTATTACCACCTATTTACTCCAATTTATCTTCATTTTCTCCCGTTATTCTTTGGCGCTCGCCCCCGACCCCGCTCTGCGCCTTCGCCCTCGCCCTCGCCCCCGCCGCCGCCGCCGCCGCCACCGCAAGGTGCGCGATAGCGTCGCGCTTAGATACAAACACACCGTGAAAACGGCGGATAACCGATAACGTTCGAGAGCTCTGAGAGTATCGTCTGTCGCGACGCTAAACTGTCAACGTGTCTCTATCCCGACGGGGATGGTCCTTGTCGGCCTCGAGAGCCTCGCTCTCTCGTCGCTCGCTCGCTCTCTCTCTCTCTCTCTCTCTCTCTCTCTCTCTCTCTCTCTCTCTCTCTCTCTCTCTCTCTCTCTCTCTCTCTCTCTCTCTCTCTCGGGCTGAGCGTTTGTCGCGCTCTGCTTGTTTGGTTTTTCAAGAAAGAGAGCGCGCTCGTTCTTCTCCGCCGGGGAAATGCAAGCGTTTCGTAAGCGCGCATGCTTCGGAGCGAATCGTTGTACTTTTTTTATATACTTTTTAATCCGCAACGCATCGCTCCCGGAAGCTCGGATAATTATGGCGTCGTTACAACTTACGCGGTGCGCGCGCGCGCGCGCCAACCTTATTTAACTTTGACTCTGGACTCTTTTTCCCTCAACTTTATTTTAATGCCGACTTTGCGGACTCCAAGTTCCAAGAGCAGAGCCCAATTATAAATTCACAGGGTATGCTGAAGGAATATTTCTTCAAATGTCCGTCAAGGAGGCGGACAGAGGATCGAATGCGCCCGGGGATCCGAGACTGTTGTATCGCGGCGCCCGCCGACGATACGGCGCGTCGCGTCGCGTCGCGTCACGTCGCGTCGTATCGTATCGTATCCGGGGATAATCTAGCCACTAGTCACGAGGGATCATCCTCCGTCGCTTTAAAAATATATCCGGGTCATCCGCGCGCGCTGTCCCCCGGAGCTGCGCTCGGGAAGCGACCACTCCCCTTGGCGGCGGCTCTATTCATCGGCCAAAAAATCGAGTGAAAGGGGGACCAAGGGTGAATCTCGTCGCGCCGACCGCACGATCGAGTGAAATTGGATAAAAAAGAGCAGAAGAAAAAAAAGAGAGGAAAAATCGGGCGAGAGACGCCGGCGAAATTCACGACGTCGATGTCGCGCGACGCACAGCCCGTGCTCGGGTCCGCTCGACTCTTCAGCGTGCGTAAGCTTCCATTGTAACGCGCTAAGTTACCGCATTACACGACGACCCGTGTGTTTGTTTGTGTGTGTGTGTGTGGGTGTGAGTGTTGTGTCCGCCTGCGTGCAATCCGCGCACGCAGCGAAAAGCAGAGCTCAGCTGGCGGTCCGACGGCGGTCTATTTACTTAACGTTAGAGCGTCGGGGCAGAGAAAGACGGAGAAAGAGAGAAAGACGACCACCCGCCGGCGAATCTAGTTACCGAGAAAGGCGAGGTTCTCGCGGGTGCGGGTCCGATGCCTTGAGAACGGGAGTCGCCATGTGTCTCTCTCTCTCTCTCGGCTGTGACGAGGAGAAGAGAGCGCGAGAATCCAGTCGGCGAAGATTCCTCCGTAATAACACAACAATCGCGCGTCCTGACGCGACGTACGAGACGCTTCGGCCGAAATTTCGTCGTCCGCGATACGACGCGACGCGATATCGTCTCCACACCCTCCGAGAGATGCTGAGCGCGCGAGCGCGGCCGTTCCGGTTCGCTCTCCGCTAAGCGCACTCCCATTACGGCTGGATATTTAACGTGTGCCGTCGCATAAATGCACGTTACGGATAGCTGCGCGTATTACAATAAGCAATTAACGGGCGCGATATCGTGTTCTATAAATTACGAAGCTCGGATGCATCGGCGTAACCGATGCTCGCGTACGCGAAACGTGAAACGCGCGGCGGCGAGCCGGTGTGTGTGTGTGTGTGTGTGTGTGCGCGCGCGCGCGCGCGCGCGAGCGAGCGAGCGGCAAAGCGTGCGCGCACCTGTGCACGCACGTGTGCGAGAGAGCGTTACACACGGGCTTGGAATAACGAGCCTACGGAAAAGGGAATGACATGGGAGAGGTAGCGGCGAGCGCGATTCGCGCTCTGTATTATCGAGATTCTCCATTATCGTTCTTAATCTTCCGTAACGCGCGTCGCGCAAATTTGCATTTCCCTCCGGCGGCCGGCGCGTCCGCCGTTCGGACCTCTTGCACAAACGCGCAAACACGAACGTAATAAAAATGGGAGAAGACAACTCGAGCGAGGAAGGGGGAGAAAGAGAGAGAGAGAGAGAGAGACTTACATATATTGGAATATCCAATAACACGACGTTTAATATCGGAACATTAGAGTCCGCTCGGCGGAGTTCGACGACGCAGATGTTTCCCCGGCGCGCTCGGATCATAGCGGACGCTACATTGATTCCGTGGGCACTAATTCAATTCTCTGTATGGCATCTTTTCTCTCGAGATCATAATTGGGATTAGCTCGGGCGAGTGCGAGAGCGACGGCGAGGATGCTGCGCGCGAGAAAGGGGGCTACTCTCTTGCACGGAGGGGGCGTCCCTCGCCTCGTGTGTGCTCGCCACGCACTCACTCGCGCGCGCACGCACGCACGCACGCACGCACACATTTATACACGCACCCACCCACACGCAGGCGCCGAGAGCAGCACGCGGGCAAAGTGCATTCTTCGTCGGTATACACACAGGCGTCGGTGTCGCATCGTCAGGCCGCGCGTAACAGAGAGAGAGAGAGAGAGAGAGAGAGAGAGAGAGAGAGAGAGAGAGAGAGAGAGAGAGAGAGAGAGAGAGAGCCTGCTCTGTGCAACGCCAGGCGAGGCGGGACGAGGTGAGGCGAGACGAGACGAAGCGAGGCCAGGCGAGACGAGGCGAGGTGAGGTGAGGCGAGGCGAGGCGAGGCGAGGCGAGGCGAGGCGAGCGAATCGGTCGTTACCAACCAGCAAGGCAGGCATATAGCACGGGCAGCAGAGGCGAGGGTGCGTCGCCCGGGATATCGATCGCCTCTAAACAAACATGGCTCGTTTTAGTCGAAGGAGTCGACTTCTATCCCGGTATAAATCACGGTTATTCCTTCCTGCGCGCGTGTATACGGGGTGTCCCGTTTGTCCATGACACGACCGTCGCGTCGTCTTTGCCGTCGCCATCGCCGTCGTCATCGCCGTCGCCTCCTCCACGCCACTGCCGCCGCCGTCGTCGTCGTCGTCGGCGGCGCCGCCGCGCAGCACTTGTATCCTCGCGGAGGTGAGAAGTCGTTTCGGAGCTTCCGAATCGACCACCTCCGAGAGCATCGAGGGAGCACCGTGTCAAGGATGGCAACAATTTTTGCTGTCATGTGTCATGGGGCTTTCCACCCCCCCCACCCCCCCCTCTCTCTCTCTCTCTCTCACTCTCGTTAGGATGTCCACGGGCGAATGGAACAGCACCTGGTGGAATTCGGTGATCGAATCGTGGCGGAAAAGTGTTTTCCGCCGATACGCGTGTAAATATTTCATCAGGAGGGAAATCGAATTTTCGTCCTGCGATATAAGCTCGGCAGGTATAAATTCGCGAGGACACGTACGCTTCATAAAAAATATATACACGTAATTATCATAAAAAAGAAACGGGGAAGAGAGGCGTTATGACGAATAGCGCTGGCAGATAAGCGACTGTGCCGTCGTGCGAAATTACGAGGTCGTATGCAAAATTTAGAATTTCACCGCGGACTCTAAAATTGCGTTTGCATGGGCGCCGTTCGCTACTTTTTGCAGATAAGTCGGTCGTATTCATGCCTGAGCGATTTGTTCGCGCGGGCGATTTATCAAGTGGCGATCCCTCCGAAAAAAGGGGTATAAATCGACACCGCGATACCGCGCGCGCGCGTTTCGCCGTGCCGTGCTCGACGAAATAATCGCGCGAAAGAGTCGTCGGATACATCGCGATCGCATAATTATACATGTCTCGCTTGGCGCGCGACTGCAAGCGACGTCGGATCGGATTCTAGAGGCGCGTACGCGAGAGAAAAAAGAAGAGAGAGAGAGAGAGAGAGAGAGAGAGAGAGAGAGAGAGAGAGAGAGAGAGAGAGTGGGAGAGAGGTGTTGTACACACCGCCCGTACGTACCGCGATTCCGTGCTGATCGCGATTTCCCCGGAAAAGAGCGCGCGAGGCGCAGCACGAGAGGATATCTTATCCGGCGAAGAGTGCAACAAGATTACGCTAATAGTCAACCGTGCAGTGAAAATAATTACAGGGCTACGCGGACGATGCTTTTTAATCGTATCACGACGAAAGCTAATCCATACTGCGACGTTTCACGCGAAAGAGGGAGAGCAGAGAGAGAGAGAGAGAGAGAGAGAGAAAGAGAGAAAGAAAGAGCCTCGACGACAAGCTCGACGCCACGGTTCAATCTGGCGCGAGTTTCGCGCGTGCATCGCTCGGCTCTCCTCTCCGTAGCCGCCGCTTCATCGAGAGATGGACTCCAAAGTCCATTTCGCAGATTTGACGGAGAGAAACGTAAAAGGACCGGACGACCGGAAGATCGGAGTCGGGCGGTAGAGGGCGGCGGGGGGAGGATTCCAGGCTCGCGAGCGAACGAAAGAGAGAGAGAGAGAGAGAGAGAGAGAGAGAGAGAGAAAGAGAGAGATAGAGAAATGGCAAAACTCACCTGCGACCGTGAGAGTGGCGTTTCTGCTCGGGGCGGATCCTGCCTGATTCCTCGCGACGCACCAATAAACCCCGCCATCTTGCTCCTTCTTGCCGTGCATCACGCGCAGAAAGAACAGGGATCCCGTAGGCAGCAGGACTCGCCGCGACTTGGTGTCACCCTTGTGCGACGTCTGCACAAGCTCGCCGTCCTTGTACCACTCTATCACCGGATCCGGCTTGCCCTCCGCCTTGCAGTTCAACGTCACCGGCTCATTTTTCGCGACTATTATGTCGGACGGGTGCTCGGTTATCCGTGGACTTTTCAGCTGGCCTGAAAACAAAAAGAGCCGCCCCGTGGTGGTGACTTTGGCGTGTCTTGGCGTGTACGCGCGCCGCACGTCTTGGGCATCCAATTAGTTCGACCTTTCAACCGGTGATATTTCCGTCGCGCGACATCGCGCCGTGTTGCCTTGTCTTGTTTTATTTCGCGTTGAATTATTTCAATCGGAGAGAGAAAGAGAGAGAGAGCGACAGAGGCAGCGCCGCCGCTTCGAGCCGTGCAAGCGAAAAGAATTTATCGGACGCCGTTCATTTCCCGAGGATATTATTTCGCCCGTATTAATATCGCCAAGTGATATTAATACACGCCGTTTATTATGTATTTACGCGCGATCGAACGCCACGCGCGCGAGAACGCAGCGCAGCGCGAACGACTATGAATTCTCTCTTTTGTTTCGCCCCTTCTTCTATCTTCACTTTCTCAATTTTCTATGGGACGACGCTGCGCAACGTGCGCCGCGATCTCGTTAATTTTCTAACACTCGGTCGTAAACACACCGAGGAACGAAAATTAAATCCGGCTTCGGGCTGCCTTATTTTTAAGTACCGTCTCATAAAATTTTCCGTGTTTAAAGCCCGTCGTACGTAACAACGCGAGCGAAGGAATTATGTGCAACGGTAAAGCTTACGTTTACCTTGGCGAGAGACAGACAGACAGAGAGAGAGAGAGAGAGAGAGAGAGAGAGAGAGAGAGAGAGAGAGAGAGAGAGAGAGGGGAGGGAGGGAATAACACGAAAGCATATCAGCGCAAATCGTAATTTGCGCCAAAAGGATGACGTTGAAGCTGCTGCGCGCTGTGTTGTAACTCGCATTTACGAGCTGGACCGTAATAATCAGCGATATTGCAGGATCAATTTGCTAGAAATTAATTCGCACAACGCAAGATATTTCCAGCGCGTATGGAGATCGCGTATCTAGTGTTAATTAATTTTGACTCAATTATTTTGTTTTTCTTTACAAACAAACGTGGCGCGTAACAAAGATAGAGAGGAAGAGCAGAATACAAAGGGAGAAGTAGAAGGACAGAGGGGAGAGAGAGAGAGAGAGAGAGAGAGAGAGAGAGAGAGAGAGAGAGAGAGAGAGAAACATAGGGGGGAAGGAGGGAAAGGTTTGTCGATAAATTCATCGATAAACCTCGGCAACGTGTTTTCACAAACGCGGCGTAAACAAACCGTAAACCAATTTGCGGCGACGTCCCGCGCAACGATTTCCAGCTTAGCTAATATTATACGTAGCGCGCTGACATTTTATAACGAATACACACGAATTATGCAACGTGATAATTCACGCGCTGTACACGCAAAAGCCATGTGTCATATACACCTCTATATGTGTACACACGTATAATCCTTGACGCGGGAAGAGAGAGAGAGAGAGAGAGAGGGGGGGGGGAGAGGGGGGAGAGAGAGAGAGAGAGAGAGAGAGAGAAATGGACGTTATTAATACGCGAGATCGATAAATAAAATTACTAGCGCGCGATTACATGAGTAATCGAGCAGTCAACTAACCGAGTCGTCACAATTATTCGCCGTTCTTCCTCGCGACTCGCGACTCCGCTCGCCAGAGTGCGCTGTGCATTCTCGCGAGCGAGAACCGGCGGTTCGGACGAGCGCACCCCGCCGACCGACCAGCGACCTCGGATCATTCCGAGGCAATTTTTCGCCACTCGCCCCCGACAGGCTGCCAGAGATCGCGCTCGTCCAGCATGCGCGCGCGCTTTGAGCGCACGTACGCACGCCCGTACGCACGTACGCGCATACGCGAGGACGTGCTACGAAAGTCGCGTAGTCAAACGTGTCCACGCGCGCGCGCGCGCGCGCGTGTGTGTGTGTGTGTGTGTGTGTGTGTGTGTGTGTGTGTGTGTGGTGCGCCGGGTGTCCTATTTAGATAACTGAATTATGGATGAATTATTGGCCGCCGGTGTATACGTAGTGCAGGTATATAATTTGATAATATCGCCGCCTCTGGCATTCTATCTCCGTGCCACGATTTCGGGTCGCGTGCTATATGTCGCCGAACGTCCATATGCATTATGCGTGCGCTCGGCGCATACGTGCATCGTGCGCGCGGCGGATGCGAACGTCGGCGTCGCGCCGCGTCGCGCTGCGCTGCGCTGCGAGCGAGCGAGCGGAGCGCGCGATGCCGGACAGGTATTAGTCATCGATAGTGGCTCGGATTACCTGTGGTTACACGCATTATTAGATAGGCGCCCCGGTGCCTAGCCGGGCATACCTCCGCGAAGTGCCTCCGCTTGCCCGTGTACACGCGTATCCCAATTAAATCGATCGACGGCCGACGGTTGTTGCGTCGCTCAGTGTGCTGATTTTTGGTCGGCGCGCTATTTGCGCTCGTTCGCGATTCTCGCTCGGAGCGAAGCCTGGCCCCTTCCCGCCCCCGCCCCGCTCGGTGTTATTTATATTATTTTCGACGTTACTTTTGATATTACTTTTTTTTTTTCCAGTTCGCCGGCAGATAATTTCTGCGCTGTCGGCTGCATCAAAGCGGAGCAAATATCTCATTGAGAGATACATGGACGTTATAATGAAAACGGTCGAAATGAAATGAATTCTTGTTATTTTACCGAATAAAATATAATTTTTGTGCCGTGTACATTCAATTTGTTTCACTTTTTTAAAGGTCGCTTCGTTTTGCGCGCGCGACTCCGCGGCGCGGAAATTGCAGGTCGTCATCGATCGTGCGCGGTGTGCAGCCGATTTGCAGCCGGCTCGATTCGACTCGATCTATACTGGCTCCCTGATGACAAGCGCGAATTCAAAGTGCGCCGGAGCCTCGGATTGTCTCAGGCGACACGTTTGACCCGCTCCGCTTTACGCTTAATCCTTGCGTTTTAATAATTCGCGCAAATGGCCCGACCTCGTTCGACATACGCGAACGCGGCTCCGTAAAGGAGGTCGCACTGTTTGCGGCTCATTATCATGCCGGTTTCTACTTTTGCTATCACTGCGCGAAGCGCCGGGCACAGTGTGTCGTATTCACGTAGTCATTCGTCTCGTCGCTGCGCTGTGTGCACTCGCTCGATCCCTCTCTCTCTCTCTCTCTCTCTCTCTCTCTCTCTCTCTCTCTCTCTCTCTCTCTCTCTCTCTCTCTCTCTGCCGTGCGCGTTTGTCGCGCAAGGTTAACGCGAACGACGCTGGCGTTTTTCTTTCCCCGATTCGCGCCTCGCCAGGCGACTCATCGGGCGTGAACGTATCTATCTCGCGCGCGCGGAACGACTCGGACACTTAACGGGCGCTCCTCCTCTCGACGGGATAGAATTTGCTGTTTCGCCGAAACGAGATGAGCGACAAATTCGCGGCGGGCGAGAATACCGCTTCGCTCGGGACAATCGAAGCGACGATCTCGCTCAACTTGGGCTGAATTCTTCATCCCCACGCGAGCGGACGTCTCTCAATCGGCTAGAGCGATTTTGCCTCAATGACGACGGGATGTATTCAGAATGAAAATATTCACTCGACGATTCGGAGAGGGAAAATTTCCTTCCTCTGTACGGGCTCGAGTAAAAGGTCACTCGACTTTGAATGACTCGGTTCTTGCTCTATTTTTCCGAGCGAGACTTCGCTCGGAAAAAAATCTAGGAAATAACATACCGTATGTGTGTGTGTGTGTGTGTGTGTATGAGTCGGAGCAGTAAACAAGCGTTGTTGCAGAAATGAAGTGGATACGGCCGTCAGGCGAAGACACAATGTAAAGAAAACATGCATTAAGCGACACGGCGCGCCGCTCGATGCGAGCGCCGAGCCGTTTACGGCGCGCGCTTTCGATCCGCAGCGACGAGATGTATCTCGTAAAGCGCATTAATGTTTCGTTGAGACCTGAAGAGGAATTCGAATGACCGGGTGTCGAATAACGCTCCTAACATCGGTCGCGCATCCGGCGGCGGCGCGTCGGGTTGCGCGCGTTTCATTCTTTGTTTGAATTATTCAGCGAGGTGCATGTTGTAGTAACCGCGCGCCGGGCATTTCCAGAAAAGAAACGGATACCCGCTTTATATGCAAACGAAACTAAATACGTACGACGGGCGTCGCCGTCCCTCCAGCGGTACAAGTAGACCCGAACAAACAGTGTTCCTAACGATACGTGTCTTACATACGCACGCACACGCACACACACACACACGCAGCACGGCGTGGAATAATCAGAGCATAAATAACTCGCTACGTACGCGTGTCAACGCGTACGCGACGTTACAATTATTTTTCCTACGATAAATTCCTGAGGAGACGCAATTTCTCCGACGTAATCTCTTTTTCGGGAAGCCCCGGGCGGCGGCTTCGAAAGCTGGAAATTTCGCGACGCTCCTGCCTCGATGTAACGCTCTCTCGGCATTGCCGTAATCGGATTTCCGGTCGGTCGTACGGATTCTCATGCGGTTCGATATCCATAAATCAGCATAGCACCCGCTCTCGCATACGCCATCGGCGCAGATTTATATCGGTCACTTATGCGCGCGCCGGCCGCTTATCGCTAAATACATTTGCGCGCGCCTCGAGATTCTCGTTTCGAATACACATGACGTATTTATTTTCGCCCGGCGAAATTGACCAGAGATTTGTCCGGAGAGCGGCTGAAAGAGTTTCGTCGCGACGAAAAAACGCCACGATTCGTTCGGCCGAGACACAGACGCCATACACACACACGTACAGAGAGAGAGAGAGAGAGAGAGTCCGAGACAGCGGCGCTGAATAAATAAACGAGATCGAGCAATCGCGCTTAGTACCGCAGACACCGATGGTGGTAACTTATATTTATACATTAGACGGATTAAGATCGTAAGCCGCGACGACTAAATTTGTCACGATCCGCGTGACTGCTCCAATAATTTATGCATCGACGGCCGTGTTCAACGGCGTTAACCCGCCGGCGCGCTCCAAGCAGCACCGTCACCACATCCGAGCACACACACACACACACACACACATACACACATATGTGCACACCGTGCACCGAGAGAAAAGTGTCCGATACCTGCGA